TGGAGCTATCTCCTCCCTGTGAAGGGCCCTGTCTATAAGCTAAGGCTAGATTGGGAACCAAAATTTATTTTAAAAGCATAATTATACACCTTCTCTAAAACAGACACACTATTAAATGACAAGTTCTCTCTCTTTTTTTTTGTTCCCTTATAAAAGCTGAATATAGATAATTATATTTAAATAATGCATTGATCGTGATACAACATTTAGCAGCCAAAGCCTCTGAGAGTTTTATATGAAAATCCCCTATTGAACATCATCATTAAGTATATATGGAGAAAGAAGAGGAGTAAACGCTGAAGGATCATACCTGTTTGTCTTACATTGCAAGTTTGCCAAGAAAATGGCAGCTTTTCTTGTGCTAGCCAGCAGCATATGCCAAATCCCACAAACAAGCTATGTGTTAAGTGCCCGTTCTTATTCTCCCTTCCTTTTTTCATAGTAATAATAAAGTAATAATTAGCAAAGATACTTTAAATGTCTTCGACTTCTTCTGGGTAGCTAGTCCTTAAACAGATTCAGTTCACCAAGCTTGGTACTACTAGCCCATAAACTATAGACACTGATTTTAATTTATGTTGATGCGTCACATATTTTCTGTTTTCTCATTTCTAAACTCTTGAGAATAAAGTCACTGTGTAAAACCTTGTTTTATTGAATTATTATGAAATCCAGTCAAATTGAGATTTCATTCAAAGTCATCACTTACTTTTTAAAATTTCTAATAATTCTTTCAGTAGAATGAAAGTGCATACAAGAAGGAAGCAATTGCAGAAACTTGGGAGTTACCTGCAAGGAATTTGAGGGATCTGTTTTATATATATATAATATGGAAATGGAAAATTTAACCCAGAAACTGGGTTGTGTAGATCAGGAAGTATTCAGGGAGCTTTGTGAAAGCTGATTCTTTCTGTACCTGTTAATTATATTGTTTCTGTCATACTTAAAAGCTTCTTTTTCTCCTCCTGAATTCTCTGGATACTAATTCTACTCCTTTGGATGCCTACCGGTAAAATTCCTTCAGTTTTCAAAGGTATAGAGGTAGGCCCTCTGCAAGTATATCAGTGTGTGTGTTAATCCAGAATACCTAATAATAACATGCAGATGTTTTATCACACTGGTTGAAAATTCAAGAAAGCAAGTCTTTTGCGTTTGTTATATTTGGTTTGCTTATTTACCTTCCTCCCTTCCTCATCCTCCGTAATTCTTGAAGTCCTTCACAAAGTCCTGTGGGAGGAAGGAGTGGGAAGAGGAAAGGGACAGAAGTCTCAAAGACACCCAAGTTGCTTTGAAAATAAGCTGAGGAAAGGAAAACTGCCATCTGAAAATCGCCAGTGCTGCAACACAAGCTCTAACTCTGTCAGGCAAAGTAACTCTACATGGGGCAAAGGCAAAGCACAGATGAGGAAACTTCAGATGGGGTGGCATCTTAGCAGTTACCAAGGAATCCAACCCTAAGACAGCAAGTTTCATTAGTCCTGATGCTCACAGAACTACATTATTAGTTTGCCAGTTCAGTTGACAGAAGCAATGAGGTTTGCAGCCCTCTTGTTTCAGCTGAATACCACGCAGCAGAATACCTTACTGTAGAATGTCAGAAAATCATTCAGTGACCGTTTTTGCAACTGTTCAATGTTTTTTTTTTTTTCTGGAGTTAATGGGACTGGGACCAGAGTCCTGTACACAGCAGTATCTGCTAATGCAGTTAGTTAGGAAATTCAAATTATGTTTATGGAATATTAGCAAATTCCACAGAGGTTGATGAAAAGAAGGATTTTTTGGTTGTTTTTGTTTTGATTTTTGGAGGGAATGATTGTTTTAGTGAATAAATTGCAGATTGCTGGGCACTGAGCCATTCATTGGAAGGGGAGCTCTCTGGTGATGTCAGTGAAGTTCCATATTTATGCAGTAATGTCTCAAGATAATGCCAATACAAAACAGAATGGTGCTTGACATTTAAGAGAAGATACAAACAGGAAAATTTGGAAGCATTAATAAATGTATGTTTGGTAACAATCTTTTCTGATCAAAATGTTACTGGTAATTCCATATTGAGCCTATAGAAAATGAACCTTTCAAATAGTGTTCTCCACAAGCACATTTTCTACTGTTTATAGCTTGTTTTAGAGCTAAAATTAAGTAAGTAAGCTTGATAATTCCCCCGCGTGCTCTCCATGTTTTTATGTAATCTTTCATGAGGAATATAATCTCACAGAACAGTAGCGTGGAGTGCAAAGTTTGTGAAACTCAGGGAACTGCTCATGAAGTACAACAATTTTGGCAGGCTTCCAGCCCTGCAGCTTGTTCTACGATGATGGTGCGCTTCTCTGCTCATTCTGTTCCCAGCTCCCCAGAGGCAGGATGGAGCACTGGGGCATGGCTGAGCCTTGGGACAGAACTGGTGAACTCTTAACATCCCACTGACATCCCATGCCCCAGCCTCATTGCTTCAAGTCAGAAAGTAGCTGAGGTGGTCAGGAGGCTTTCCTTTGTCCTCATGTAGAGTCTGGTCACTTTAGGAAAAGCTAGGTTAGGAGACTGATATATGGCTTCCAAAGAAATAAAAGAATATTCTTCTCTGCATTTTTCCCCCCAACACACACTAAAATGAAATCAACATCTTGTCGGGAGTGATAGTTAACTGAAGACTTTGGGCTTGTGCTATACTAACGCCAAAATGCAAGTTGTACCTTGATTACTTACAGGTTTTGTACTTCCTTTTCTACAAGCCAGTTGCAGTGACAGGCATGGACAAGTATAACTGAAGTTGAGTTTCACTCAAGGTCTTTTATCTTTTGATCTAGCCAGATGTGACACTCTTCGCTAAAGAGGTCAGATAGGTCTGAAGACTTATGCTGGTTTCTTACCTCATGATAACAAGTATCCCTCACTGTTTTTCCTCATTTTTGCATGTTACTGTATTTTTGCATGTTACTTCATTACTACATGGTTGATATAGTTAGCTTGGAAGTGTCTGCAGCATGAGGACAGAACAAATGGTAAATTTCTTATTTGCTTCAGTATTCTTAGTGTTTTTCAAGAAGAGAGTATTTTACAGGAAGAAATGCAAGTACTCTCATGACCGTGAAGGCATTTTTTGTTTGAGAGGGACTACACCATTTTATGCGTGTCAGGCAGGCTTTCAGTCAATGCTGACCTCTTTCCATTCCCTGGGTTTTTTTGTTTTTATTTCAAAGCAGTTTCTTGTTTCATGACTCTTGTTTGTAGGAGTAAAATTATCCTGTCAGCCATTCAACATTTGGCATGGGACCTGAAGCTTGATAGCTCCAAACTTCTTTTTAAATAAGTCGGTCTTGCAACGATACTTGATACAGTTATGTTTAGTCTAAATAAAATATGGTGCAGAACTCTTTTCTTGATTTCTTAAATAACCCATGTGTACATCATCCTAAGGTTGACAGTGAAGTTGGAGAAGTTAGGACTAGAATCAAGATAAAAGGAAAAAGGGCAAGATTTGTGAAGATAATTCAGAGTTGAGGGTTGGGAAAGGGTTATTTGTTTTATCTTACGCGTCTATTTTTGAAATAGGTAGGTGTTTATCAAAAAATGAGGTTTTCTAAAGGAGAGGAAGTTGAATCTTTTGCTGCTAGCCTGAGTCACTGTGTTGAAGAGCCCCCTAAAAGCATGAATGTCCAGTAACTGCATAAAATAGGACTGATTTGTACACTCTATGGAAACATTATATTTCAGCTGCTCTATAAATAATAGCTAAACCTTGCCACTCTATGCAGCTCTGTGTAATGTTGTCCTTATGGCTATGTCCTTTCTCTGCAAACAGAGAAGTACTGCTTAGAAGTGAAGGAAGCACATAGCTGCAGGGGTGCTGCTTTTGTATGGTGGTTCCCTAGTGCTTCTTTTCTTTAGAGTACTGCTATAGCAGAGAGCTTACCTGATTTACCTCCAACATCCAAAAAATAAAAGGGGAGGAACAGTTATATCTGAAGCATGATAATCTGGCTTTTTGCAGAAATCCTTAGGTGAATACAAACAGAGCTACCATAAAAGAAGCATTATCATCAAAACAAAAGCCTGTGTCTCCCTCCCATTCCTGCCCCCTTTCTCTTTGGTCTCTGTTTACAATTCTATTAAAAAAAAAAAAAAAAGGAATAAATCAGATACTCCAGAAAGGATGGGACTATTTCTCTGAGGATGAAGTGGAATTTCCCTGTGTCTTTGGCATACCTTACATTATTGCACATCATCATGTTCTTCCATAACATGAAAAATAATTAGGTTCCTATGAAAAGAAGTTCTGGGCTATATCTAGCTTACTGACTGTAGCTTTCCAACCCCTGCATTGTAGTTTAGCTCTTCTGCTTGCTCTAAGTTAGCATGTCTCCACTCATTTCAGTGACTTTATGTTAATGCATTCACTTTGGTGCAGCTACTACATCAGAACAAACTAATCAAGTCCCAAGAGGTCTATATACAATGCCTAAATTAACCTTATTACAGGAAAGGAAAAGATAAAAAAATTAACTGGAAGTGCACTGTACACAAGCACACAGATCTGCATCCAAAAGCATTATCAGTTTGTACTTTTTTACTCCTTATGCTCTGCTTCTTGTGCAGAAAAGAACTCTGTTCCACCCCCTACCTGCCTCCCACTTCCCAGCTAATATTAAAAGCAGAGACAGCTCGATAGAGAAATTATTCTATTGCTGAGGTCATTGCTTTTATAAAGTACTCACTAGCACTTGTGAAGCATGTAAAATGAAGTTGTTTAGGTTGCTGTTGAATACAGATTGCACAAAATCCACAGACTTTTCTTTTTCATTATGTTTTCTACTTTCTACTCCATTTCTTCTCTTAATTTCTCCAAATTCTGATGAGGCATCTCCTTTGCTTAGTGCATACCTGGTAAATTGTAAATGCTTTCAACCCCACAGGGAGGACCATCTAGTTCTTCTGTTCCTGTTCTATAACATCTTATGTCTTTCTGTTGTTCTAAATGTTGGGTTTTTTTTCTTCTCATTCAGGTACTGCTATGTGGATATTTGTTAGCAATGACTGATGTGGAATCTACATATGCAGATTTTATTGCTTCAGGAAGAACAGGTAGAAGAAATGCACTACATGACATACTTGTGTCCTCTACAGGTGGGAACTCTGGTGAACTAGCCTTAAAGTTATCAGAGCTTGATATAAACAAGGCAGGTGAGTACATTTTGTTTTTATTATTATTATTTAAAACTACAATAAAAAAATAGTACATAAAACATGGCTTATGTGCATGCGTTACTCCCCTCTCCCTCAGCAGCAAGACTCAAATGTTTTACCTGCTGTTGTGAAATCAGCTGGGGTTGCCTGCAGTACAAAGTCCAGATTTCTGAAATAGGAAGGATGGTTATTTGCAAGTACAGCATTTTATTAAAATAAGGCAAGACTTTCTGCAGTGAGTGGCTGGTGGCAGGATCCATGTAAGAATAAATCTTTCAGAAAATCAAATGTAAGAAGGAAAAAGAACTGATTTGGAAGGCATTCATTAAGACAGATCCAACTTTTCTTGATAATCTTTAGTAGAAGCTGTCTGTTTTGAAGCTTGTAGGAGAGACAGTGTCTCTGCCTAGAAGGTTATTGTGAAGGTTAATTTTCAGCTGCTAGAGGGCACAGCAATAGCAATGAATTTGTACTTGTTTTACTTGAATCTTCATTTCCATTGAGTTGTCTCTTTCTCCTTTCTCTTGATGCTTCGCCCATTCTTTTAAAGTGATCAGCACTAATACACTTATAACTCTTACTCTATGTTTAAGGTTACCAAAATTTTAACACTGCATACAGCTTCAACTGGCAGGAGGGAGGGCCAATGTCTGGTGAAGAGCCTTACGCTAAACAAAAATAGTTATATGGCTCTATGATTATTGTCTCATTACTTGTCAGGTAGTTAGTTGGATGGCAGTTAATGCATAGATCTGAAATATGTTTGAAAGGCCTTTTCAGATCTCAGGAAAGAGGCCTTATGCTTGTTTCAATAAGATTAGAAGAAAAAAGATACAGCAAAGAACAAACTGTTGATAAGCAGCTGTCTTGTTCATGGGTATTTTTTCTTGGACTATCAGCTTATTAGTATGGAATAGGACAATCAGATATGGAGAGTGTGAAGTTTAGGGGAGTGGTTGTGGGTTTTTTGTTTCTTTCTTTCTTTCTTCCTTTTGACTTTATCACAGACTAATGTACATCCTAAGTCAGTCCTTTTGCAGTTGCCAATTTTGGGACTATAGTTTCTGGAAACATACATGCATTTCTAATTGTGCAAGGCCCTGGTTCCCCCTGCCCCATCCCGCCCGCTATGAAAATAAAATTTTTAATACATGAGCATGTGTATAGGTGTGTCTGTGTTTTTTAATGTGCGAATAAGTGTAAAGTATTGGACAAATAAAGTAGGTATTATTGTAGGTATTATTCAAAATGCATAGTACCAGGTTCCTTCTTGCTTAAAGCTTCTTCATTCTCAAATTTACACTTATCAAAGCAGTATTTGATCTTGACTACTTAGAGAACATACACTAGCCCTATTTTTCAATTAAGCTGTTGGAGTGATCACAAGACAGAGCTATAATTCTCCTGTGAGCCATGAGAAGCGTGTGACTTAGTGCCTGTAATACGTCAATACAAATTTTGTTCATGCCATTAGCTCTGTAGTGATGAGAATGGTTAAAATAAATATTAGCCTAAGTTTGAATAGCTGATTGAGGAGTCTATTTAGTTTGTCCCTTTTGCTGCTTAGGTAACTCTAAATCATTGCAGAAGAGTATTCAAAGTGGCTCATAAAATTATGCCAGAATACCTTGTGGGAAATTATGCAGTTTGAAATAGATACAATGGAAATACTTTTCAATTGTATATTATTAGTACACTTAGGTGCCAGGCAAAAGCCTCCAAAACACAAAAATTTGAAATGTATTACAGTCTCATTGGCATGAGTATTGGCTGTATTACCCCATCCTGCCATTCCAAACCTAAAAGACAATTAAAAATGCATATATGTTTCCCAAATTATAGTTAGAATGTGCCAGTGCTTGCAGGATGTAGATATGCCTCACACGTGGCAGGTCAAGAAGAACACACACGTCTGGAGGGTTATGTATTTGCAGTCTTATTTCATGCAAGGTATACGTCAAACAGTTTATGGTGATAAGTACCATTACTATCTAATTATACAAATATAGAGACTAAGTTTTTATTTCTTTTATTATTTATTTATTTTTATTACAGCTATATGTGTTTTCTTGCAAAAAATGAAAGTGCAGTTGCTTTCAACTGCATGCAGTAATGGCAGTGTAAGATAATGTAGATGAAGCAAAGCAAAATGGTTATTATAGAACATATGTAAATGAAGCTTCCCAAGCATATTTAATACACTCACTTTGAAAAGCCTGCAGACACATTTCCTGTAAAGAGCAGGAACAGCTTCAGCAATAGGCACAGTGAGACCTTGTAGAAAGACCCCGTTTTCTGTCATGCACTATTTGATACCTGGAGGAAATGAGTGCTGGTTAATCCCCACCTTGATAAGCCAACTATGGCTAATCATGAGGTGACTGCATAATTATGTATAATGTGTACAATGACTGTAATATTCTTCAATATCATAAACAAACAAACTGCTCTTCCCTTCACAACAACTGCTCTGGTTTTCTTTGTCCAGAATAAGCGAGTTACTTTCTAATGTTCACAGAACGTACATGCTTACCAAACACTGCACTTCAAATGTAGACCCCAAAGTTCTCTGTGGCAGTACAATTTATATAAACTCAGCAAAAGTTCAACTGTGTACATCTGACAAGTAGAAAACCGCAGTAGAAATCATGAGGCATCTTTATCCTTACTAATGACTGAAAGGCAGAGATTTTAGTAGGGAAATCAGCTCAATCAACTGTCTTTCAAGGTAAACAGTGCAATTCCAAGAAACTTTCTATCCAGATAATCTGACTGATGATTGTAGCTAGATAATATAAAGTGATAAGGAAAAAGTACAGTGGAGAATGTGCACCAGTCTCTGCAAGTGTAATCTAACAAATTGCCAGTTTTCCAAGTATTTGCGGACATTCCAGAGAACACAAATTCATTGCAGAAGTTGAAAGGAGGCTTCTTTGTAAAAGCTGAGATGGTCCAACCATCTCTGAAAAACTGAGGGTAGTGAAGGTGCTAATGCAGTACAGAACTGGAATGAAGGACTGATTGTTGAAATTTGTCATTAAAAGTGAATTGAGATCGCAGTAGAAATGCTTTAAGTGTAACCACTGGGAACACTGGGAGGTGCTGAAAAGTCAGTAATGTTCCAGGAGGAAAAATTAACTGAGTTGTACATTAGTAGAACTAACAAAAGGTTTTCCTAGCTTACTAACTCACACAATTGTGTTGTGGCTTACAGTATGTTATTATTTGGCTTGGGTTTTTTTGTTTTGTTTCTTTTTTTTTTAAGTCTGCCTATTGGAATCAAAATACTGCGTAAGAACCACAGCTCTTACTCTTAGGAGCTTAGAGTCATCATGTTTTGAAGGAAAAATGATTCCAGAGTGTGCTTAGGCAATTTTTAGGTTCTCAGAACCCAGAAAGAAAATTATTTTCTCAAATATATTTTAAGCCCTTTGGCAGGAAAGCTCTGTCAGTAGAAGACGGTTGGTAAGACCAAGGAAGTGTATTATAGATTGAACAGATTTAGACTGGTGAGTGTTTCAGTGAGTTGAGAAGATCTTTGAAGAAATGGTATATTAGAACCTTAGTTCTCTTTCTCTAAATCTTGGTGCACTATATTTAACATTTAGGTAGTTACCTGTCTAGGCCTCCTGTCCAGATGATTTTTCTTATACACGAATGCCTTGCAAGGTTTTTTATCTTTTGAGTTTTGACTTTTTTAAATAAGAATTCAGCAAAGCTTAGGTTGCCCAGTAGGTATGAGATGCATTAAAGACTCCCTAGTTGTCAGTATGAATTAAGTGCAGTGTGGGTAGAAAGGAAATCAAAAATCAGATTCTACCCATCTGAACTTTTGCAATAACAGTACAAACATAGGAGGCTTTGTAGAAAGTGTTTGGACAAGTCAGGCAGAAGGGATTTCTGTCCAATAGGAAATCGCATGTAGATCCATCCTGTTGGAATCGTTTTCTGTGGGAGATAAAGCTGAGAAACAGGGAGAGTCTGATGGGTTGATCTGATAAAATTCAGATTTTCTGAGAAAATGACTGGCAAAACAATTTTTTATCTTTAAGTCAACCCATAATGAAAAGAATAAACCTCACTGTTAGTAAGTTAACATTTCATATAACTTCTAATTAGGTTGAATTTGATAATTACTAATACTTGAGGCATTCTGCATAAAATGCAGCTATCAAGTCTGAGGTTTTTTGCAATAGAACTTCTTTCCATTAACTGCTGTTTCGTCTGTGTAGAAAAGAGAAGGTGTTTATGGTGTTTCATTTAATAAACAGAAATAAAGCTGTAAACGTGCAGTGAAGTTTGAAATCAGGAAATGATAAATACCTATATTAAGGTCTTCCTTCATTGTAAAGACCTGATTTCACATAGTGGAGTGGCCTACAAAATAAGGTATGGTTTAAAGTTAAGAGGCGCTGTTATCTCTACTTTGATTCTTCGTAACTTAATCCATAGCACTGTCCTTTCAAAATTCCTGTATTAAGCCAGGGCAATTCAAAAGATTCAGAATCCTTATAAAATACCAGATAGGTCTCATCTCTTACTCAACATTATTCCTTGTGTTATGTACCAATAGCTAACTATTGCCCTGTTCAGGGACTTCGATCTTATTTCCAGTTAGCTTCAGCTTCCAGCCATCTGAACATGTTAGGTCTTTAATCATTAGGCAAACGATACAATACTTTTTATGCAGGTACTTATAGACCATTATCTAGCCACCTCTTATCCTTCTTTAGACCGTCCTTAGGAGTTATCTGCTCAGTTTGTCACTATAAAACATTTTCCATTCCTCAGATCGTTTTATAGCTTGCAGTGAGACAGCTGGACTAAACGCCTGGATGGAGTATGGTACTTGAAATGAACATAGACAGTGAACACAGTTTAAACAAACTTCTGGGTCTGCTGAAGTTGCATCTCTTTTCAATAAACTCGATTCAGATGTGGTACAATGAGATTTTTCTCCTATAGTGTCATAGTAACAGAGTAAATAAATATGCAGAAATACTCTATTATTTCTGGAAACTTCTTTCATTTCATATTATTTTAGATGTTACTTGAAATGATAGTGGGAGATGCAGCTAGGAATTTTATGTAGGAATTATATTTTGAAGATGTCTTTTGAGATACAAAATATCAGTATTCCTTCCCTGGAGATATTCAAAACCCGTCTGGATGCGATCCTGGGAAATATGCTCTAGAGGACCCTGCTTGAGCAGGGGGGTTGGACTAGATGATCTCCAGAGGTCCCTTCCAACCTCAACCATTCTGTTCCGTGATTCTGTATTTCAGTAGTAAAAGGTTTTATATCTAATTAAAGATTTTGGTTCCACTTCAGTTTTATTTTTGTCAGACTGATGGATGAATAATTGGGGTTCTGGGAGCCATACCTCTCTGTTCTGGAGTGGATCACTCAGCCTTTTGTTGTGTTTTTGTAGAAGGAGAAGGAGATGCACAAAGAAATCCAAGTGAGCAAACTGGGGAAACCCAAGGGGAGGCGGCAAAGCAAGAAAGCTGACATCCGACTTTGACCGACTGGAACAGCTGCTGGATGTTTTCAGAGTACAAGAGCATGCTGGAACAAATTTGTTTCCATGAGCAAGCCTGTGGAAAAGAAAGTGTATGTGTCTTCACTGCTGGAACCCACTCAACACAATGTTAGAAATGGGGGTACAAGCTGTGGCAGAAGACAGAATTTTCTCTACCTCTGTCATTAGCAATGGTTGAACGTGTATTGATTTTTGGGATAGCCTCATCAGATGGATCCCTTCGCAATGACTACTTGATGGGAACGCTTTTAGAAAGTAGAACAAGCAGATAAATCTTGTAGCAAATGGCCTTTGAAGCGTCAGAGGATCAGATTGCGTATCTTAAGCAAAGGCTTGTGTGATCCTCAGAGTTTAAAATTCTTTGGCCAAAGTGTTCACCCATTAAGAGAACTGTAAAGAAAGCACTGTTTTTAGAACTCTGCGTCTGTGTTTTACAGCTCTGTTATTTACAATGGTTTTTGTATTGTACAAGTTAGATGCTCCACACTGCCCCTTCTCAACTGCTTATGAAGAATATTTCTGTTACTGTGAATTTTTCTACCACTCGTTTTGAAAGGGCTGTTTTTTTGCATAATGTGGTGATGTGCTCATGATAGATTTAAAATGTCAACAGCTAAACTAATTACGCCTAAACATAAATGACTCAGCAAAACTCTAATTTGTTACTAGATGAACCTTCAAAACGATTCATTAATGTGAATATTTTGGTGTGTTTTGTGTCCTTGGTACAGTTTTGCCACTTGCCTGTAGTTTGTTGCATATCAAAGAATTAAACTGAATCTTTTACATTATTCTTCCCCATTTTTTCTAATTTTACTCCCAATTTATTAATCTTTCTCCAAACTATTTTTTTAAAATGGTAGTCCAATTATTTTATTATAATGGTAATTTTAAGAATACATTTATAACCTTATGTGGTTTAAAATTCAAACAAATTCCATGGTGCTGGAGATTTTTCTGGTTCACATTGTTAAAGATGGGCCTTGTTTACACATGAGAAAATAACCAGCATAGTTATTGCCAAACATCTATTCTAGAATGATTTGTAGATTGCACGGTAGTTCAACTAGCGGATCATGGCCTGTATCCAGCCAGTGGGACTCTTTGCTCTGTTCCTTGCCTTTACCTCTGTTGATCAGACTTCTGGGGCACAGCCAGCAGCTGGTTACTGATGCACCATGCACAACCAGGTGCCAAGTGCTAGAAGCTGCCACAGCAACCTTGTGGCCAGGATGGGACAGAGAAGTGAGAGACTTGGCATCTAGCACCCAAAAGACTGAGTTTTTCCCATTTCAGCTGTACTGAAATGACAGTCCAAACTGGACACTCATTAAAGTCCCGGGAGGGCTTGTCTATCCAGAGGATTACCTAAAATACCTATAAACTAATAAACTATTCTGCAGTAGCTGTGCTGGTTGACTTCCCCTCTCCTCCTTCTGTGTAGACGAGGCCCAACATGAGGCTGAATACTGCAAAATGGGGCAGGTGTGCCTCTCCATGACTAAGGTGAGTATAGAGTGGCTAACAGATAAACCATGGCAATCACATAAGCACCAACTGGAGTCAGAAGATTTTCTTTTTCTTGTTATTAACAGGAGGTGATGTCACCTTCTTTATATATATTATATATATTATATATTTTTTTCTGTTGGTGGTGGTTTCAAATGTTATGCACTTTTTAATGTTTGTAAACTTTTACTAATTAATAGTGTGGTTGCTTCTTGAATAGATTAATCATCAGTTAACAAAACATCTTTATGGCCACAGCTGTTTCTACCATATGTATCATAGTACTTGTCTCTTGGAATTCTTTTGTGAGATGTGTTTAAAAGAAAAACAAACAAACCTCTGATCAGTATTATGAGCTCATTTATTAGTGTTAATAAATAACAGACCAGCAGTATGCTTGTGGTTCATTAGTGTAATGTTAACTCTTTCACCTTTTATTGTTTGGAAATTAAATGCCTTGCTGTCATGCTAGCTGACAAATGCCCCCTCTTCTTTGTGACAGAAGTAGTCCATTTGCTTTGAAAATACTATTGCCCTTAAACTAATTAGTTGTTCATTTGTTTCTCTTAGTGTTCCTCTCAAAGTTAACATTTTTTTTCCATTGCTCCTTTATCAGTCCTTCGACTTAAGCAAAAACTGTTTTCCCCTTTGTATTGGACTAGTTAATTTCATTCTAGCACTAACAGCAGAAAGAAATAAGATTGTGAGGCCTTTTATATAGTGTTACTGTATTGACAATCCACAAAACACCATCACTAAAATATAGCAGTAAAAAGTAATAGTGGAATAAGTAATTACAGTACATTGAAGTGTTGGTTTCCTTGTTTTCCTTCAATGCTTTTATTTCAATACCTTTTCTTTCTTCCTAAATATTCTGTTGTGAAATAAAATACTTTTCAACCTTTCACCTCTATTTCATAGTTGTTTCTTCCCTCCATTTCTCTTCTTGCTTTCTTTTGTTTTTAAAGCAAACTTGGAGCCTTTTTGGCTTTTGAAGTATGTCTCCTTGATGGGAAATAGCACTATTAATTTTAGTTCAGTAAAAGGCTATTTATCTTTCCCAAAAGTATATGAATGTTGATTTCATCATTTGGACTCTGCTCACTTTCTTTATCTAGGGTATTTCTGTAGCAGCTATAAGCAGGCTTAGCTTTATTTTAACCAGTTCTAATAAAAACTACGTACAAACAGCAATGTGGAGAGATGTATGGCCATCATAGCTATATACTTTTGCACAGTTCTAGGGAATGTTCTTAGCCACTAGAACTCATTTGTTTATACCCCTGAAGTATTAGCATGCTCTCTGGCATGTGTTTGGCTCATGCTAGCTGAAATTTTCAGGGCTAGGGACCATTCATAAGCTCCATAAGGTTCTCAGACGGCAGCTAGCATATGTGATCATGCAGTTTTGGAGATGGATTTTGATTATATAGATACGAATTTTTTTTTGGTATCTGTTCTCAGTGCTAGAGAACAAATCCGAGGCATTTCATTTACTAGTATAGACACAGGCTGGATATCCTTCAAAGCCTGTGAGTATTAAACATGTGGTTAGTCTGCACCAAATCATACTACTGCATCTTCACTGCTATTATTGTCCAGGCATTTATAAAAGAGCTAGTTCAAGCATAGACGCACCTTCACTGTAGTGTAGTTGCACCATCTTTTCCTATATAACAGCAACACTGATGGCAGAATCATGCCTTAATTGCTTTTTTTTTCCTTTTGCGAGTTATCTTTTCAGTAAGCCTGATGCTCTGGCTTCTATTCCTGTATTTTCTCCATATTTTATTGTTCTCATGGTAGGTAAAATGTTAAAATGTTTAATTAATCCAGGATTATTTTAAAGCAATCACTCCAAAATCTAAAACTCAACTGAAAATTATGTCTGGACTGTCAGCTTGGTAGAATACTTTCTGCAGATTTTTCTCCCCTTTTAGCTATCTCTTTAGGGATATCATTTTAGTGCTTCCTCCCCCTGCCACCCACATCGCGCCAAAAAGAGTCTCTGTAACCCTATTCTTATTGCCCATTGCAAGTTTTATGACTGATTGCAAATACTGCACTTGTAGGGTTGTATTCTCCATCCACATCCACAAACAAGAAGAACATAGAACTAGAATTCTATGATATTGGCATTTCTCACTTTCACTTATTGCCATTAATGTTGTTGGTGTGCTTCACAAAACTTCGATTTTTAAAAGGCATCAGCAAGCATCTATATACATATATTTCATCAAGCTCATTTGAATCCAAAATTTCACCATAACTTTCCATACAATGATTAGGAAACCAACATCAAAAAGGCAGCAGAGCTGCTACTTGTGCCATTTGCAGCTATTGCTCTTGTCATTTTTTTCTGAGATTCTAAAGTTTCAGGTGGAAGAAGGACATCTTGGTATGAGTCATAGGTTCCAAGGTGTTAGATTTCATGCAAAGGGCAAATGAAATTATCCCATGCCTGGGGAAGGGGGCAGCTACCAAAAGTGGTTACGCTGGAACTCCTACAGTAGCAACTCCTTCCTGAGCTACACATAATGAAGAATTCCAGGTGTGCTTAATATTTATGTTTTAGAGATATCAAGGACATTTTACAAAGGGAAATACTGAAAGCTGCTGAGAGTGAGCTCAGTAACCTCACCTTTGTCAAGGTTTAATGCCTTACCTCAGCAGTACTCCCATGTTAAATGTTTGCCCTGACATGTTCCTTTGTTTTGCTCTGCTTCTCCTCCTGGCTGGTTTCTTTTCTGTACTGTGTTTTACATATGTCTCTGTAAAATAATGCTCCAAAAATATATGGAGTACCTTAGCGGATTTGCTGCATATTTAACTGATGGAATTCTTGTAGTGGAAAGGGTGTTTCCCTTCATCCTTTTGGTCACTGCAGAGGGGGACCTTCTTCAAAACTCTAAACAGTTGAAGAAGCAAAAGAGCCAGGAGGGGAACATGAAGTCAACAAGATAGGCCAGCAATATCAGGAGGCTATCTCATCTTAATGGTAAGGCATTCGGAGCCAAATGCAGAAAATAAGCTTCCTGTGTGGAATGATGGACAGTCAGGATGGGCTGCTTTTAGCTGAAGAGAAATTACACAACTTGGGTGTGTGTTGATTTCAGAACCAACTCCAGATTTTCAGCTGTGTCCTAGAGCAGAAGCAGATACAGTTTGGTGCCCTAAACATTGATACATCACAAACAAATGAAAATCATCAGATGCTAGTCAGAAAAGAAAGGAATTTCTAGATCATTTAGAATATGGGGTATCTTTGAAAGGCAGAAACGTTTAACAGCTAGGAAAATGACAGAAATCTAGGTTGTAGCAGGAACCTTCTCACTGTTCCCTGAAGGCTTACAGGCTGAACTCTGTTCTTTATTACTTTTTCATCATAATCCAGGTTTCTGTACTCGAAGAGAAAAGAAAAATTAAGTACAGGAATGGTCAATATGGATGTTTAGTGCATTTCCACTAACACTTTATTTACCTTATGTACTGCAAAAATCTGGCTGTAAGATACGTAAGATCTGGCAGAGCAAATAATGGTCAAACAGAATAGTCTGGAAAAATAAGATGATATGATAGTTCATATTGTTGTATGTGACTAGTAAGTCTAACTCTGAGTTAACAAAATATGAACAAATGCTAAAACAAAGAATAAAGCTAAACATAAATACAGTGCAGTGTACTCATTGTGCTTCTGAGAAGCATGCTGCTCTTCTGAAAGCAGCAGGCTTCATGTTTTACCCTTACATTACTCTTACATTATGGGTTGGAGCTGCTAATTTTCAGGGATGGAAAGCGGGTAACATTTTTTCACCTCATTACATGTGTGCATATGCAAATACTCTCTTGGTGTTTTCAGGCAACACATTTATGCTTCAGTACCCTGAGACCAAGTATATATAAAAGACCTATGCTAATGACATCTAGCTCATGAGCTCTTATGTAAGCTTTGTCAATTAGCTGTCAGTATACTTTTTCAATCCCATTTGCCATTAAGAAATTGTCTGATGTTGATCCATGAGTATACTGTAAGAGATGATAGCCTGATACATTCTTGACCAAGGTAGTTCCTTTTGAGTGCTACGAAAATGCTTGAGATAAAAATGCCTAAAAAAATCCACACTATCTTCTTGCATTTGCAATGACAGATGATGTTGCTTTGCATCTGTTAAATAATAAATCGACTGTATCATAGTTCATCAGTTAATGCTTGAATGGAATTCATTATGAGAAGTGCAAAATCTATTCCCATGAAAAAACAAACTTACCAAAAAATCAATCATTTTTAACAAAAAGAAAGGAGAGAGGTAAAATAAAAAAGTAAATCAGTATTATTTTATAGCAGGTAATGTCATATAATCTGAAAGATGGAAGGGAGATTGCTGTAGGGAGATCAAATCTTTGACAGCCCAGCAAATCAGTATCAGGGCATCAAATCTACCTGCCATTCAGTTAGTAATTCGTGTGGTCAGAGTAATGTGTGTATTAGCTGGTGAGCATTCTGCATCTGTGGAGTTGCTTTTGCATGTAAATTAACTCTCATTGCATCCATCAAATATGGATATTGCAAACAGATTCACAGAACCAGTTTTTAAGCATGAACAGATAAATAGTGGGTTCCAAGGCAACAAGGGAGAAAACAAGAATTTTCACCATCTAGCATACTGACAGATGTTTCATTACTAGTATCCTGCCATTCTTACGTGAGTTGTTCCACTGAAAAAAAAAAATAGGTATGATTGCATGGGAGTCTGTTTTATGATTCATTTTCTGTGGGATTTCAGCGTGTTTTCTACTAGTTCAGTTAGCTCACTTGCCTGTAAGATGATTTCTGCTGTCTACGTTCTTTTCTGTTTCAGTTCTTTAATTTGCTGGGTACTGAAGTGAGAACATGTGCTCTGGAAGTTAACAGCTCACATACAGTAATGTTATCTATCTGCTGCTTAAATGCATATGGATAGAACAGGACATATCTAAGTCATTGGGGTCAGGAACTACTCAAAAACATTCTGGGACCACCATCTCTAGCAGACATCCAATAACCATTCCTGGATGAAGCCATTCAAAGCTGTTGGGTGAAGAATGTTGAAGCTACAGAGAAATAGGGAAGACCAAGAATATGGGAAAAGTGTGGGGAGGGGCACCAGGGGAAGGAGTATTAAGTGTAATTTAAAAGACAGTCAAGTCCAGCTTGCAGTTTTATACAGGTAGCCTGAAAACAATAACCTCAGTGAAATGTGACTACTAAATTAGATTTGACTAGCTCATAAAACCTCTTACATTTTAAGAAGTTTGACCAAAACCCATACAGCATACCACAACATATATTTGGAAATCTTTCTCAACCTAATGATGTCTCCTTAACAAGAATGGCATACACTTGGTCAAAATACATGTTGATTGAAAAGTGCAATAGAAAGCAGCAGTAGCCAATCTGACTGCGCAGCCATGAAAAAAAGTGCCACTCCTACACGTCTGCCTCATATGCAGCATCTCCAGGTAGCACTTATAGCTGTAGTAACACAATGAATATTAACCTCTTGTTAGAACAGGAATTTTCAAGGGAGTCTGTCAAATAGATCTGAACCTCTGGCAATACATATTATGTCATCGCGCAGGACTGATCATATTTTATCATTAACTAGTTATTTCTTCCTATGTGATGTTCAAAGGGCATAGTCACTTACTATTCACTCTAAAATATGCTTTTGAATGTCCATGTGTTAATAAATATCACCACTGCTTTAGACAGGCTGTAGTGTAATAGGATGTTTTGTAGTTGTAATATCCCATAGATCTGTACAAATTTTATGTCTATATTTAAATTGAAAATACACTAGATATTTTCCAGCTCAACATCACAGACCAAATGAGGTACACAATGCCTCAATATATATGGTCAATAATAATGTGATACGTAGCTTTTCACACTCATCTCTTTTTATTGATCCTGGAAGTTACAAGTGCAAATAAGACACAACTTACGTGTTTCAATAAGATCTCTATTTCCACAGCCTCATCTTTGATCCTGCAATGCAGTCAAAATGTAGGTGTGTAACATCTCATTATAGTCATCATTTCCCTAGCAACAGACTGATATTCTCGATATATTATAAAGTATACTTCAAAGAACAGTGCATGCTGTAAGAAAAAAGGATGGATCAGATGACTTAATAGGTCTTTTTCATGTACAATTCGTCTCATCCAAGAAAAGAATTCTGAACTCTCTCTAGACCCGGACACGTTTGTCTGGAAGTGCAAACACCGGTGTTATATAGTAACAGTGATCCTACAGAAACCACTACCAGTGTGTCTTTGTTATGGAGCAAGCAAAAATGCAAACGCCTCAGGAACTAACTGATAAATAGCACACCGGCACCTCCTGGTGGCTATGAGTAGTATTTTAAAGAGGAGGAGGATTAGAAGCAAAAACAAACCTCGAGAAACAGAGGACAAAACAGCCATGTTGGATTGGGGGAGATTAATGTGCCGAGAAAATTCTTTGCAAATCATGCGAGAAAAGTATCATAACGTCATCTTTTACAGGATTGAATTACAGACTTGGTTTTTGTCCTGAATACCTTAAACCATATGTTCTGTTTCAGAGTTTTCCCAGCATCTGCAGCCATATCCCACACGGAAAATCTCCATAACTCCTAAAAATAACACTGCATTTTAAAGTAGGTCTTGCAACTACTTCTAGTAGATGAACTGAAATCAGAAATACGTCGTTCTCTTGTCTTCACACAAACTCTGAGTACCAAAAGGACAAACCACAGAATCCAATCCTGGATTCACAAAACTGACAACACACTCAGAACGGTATCAGTAGGAGTGCTTTCCTGCTTCTCAGCTCTTTGTTGTTTACCTTCCTGATGACCGTTACTGTAAAGAAATTATCAATCTGAATATTTCAAATAGGCTTTAAATTAAAATAATTCATCAGAGTAATAACAAGGAATACTTTTCTGACATTTGTGGTAAGTTTGTACTTATTGGAATTCCTGAAAAAAGACAGAAACGTCATCAAGGCACATGCAGAAGAATAAGAAGGGATGTTTCAAAGCATGGCTGGTTGCTTATGATAGCGCTCTCTTTTCTGGTGCTAATCCAGATCAGGATCAGGACCAAGAAACTAGACAGTAAAGAGGTCAATAATGAGTGGCTACAGTGGCTATTACCATATGTAGCCCAAGATTTTTCACAGAGAAAAGGAACACGAGAGCAGCTTTTTGGTGCAGAAAAGTCGAAAAGCTCATATGGAAAGGTAGAGTGAGAAGCCATTTCATTCTAATAATCTTTTAAAAAAGGCTGCCATTTCCTCACAAAGAAGCTTAGTGTTAGAGGATATTAAAAGACACAACGTGCTACTAAACTATGCCATTTATTCCAGGCATGATACCATGAAAGACTAGTAGTACATACTCACTTGTTGCTGTGCTATATCAATGCAGAAGTCTCAGAAAGCTTCTTTTCTCAAGATTAACTAACAATATAATACAGCAATTAGCTTAAACAGGGTCTTACCACCTTTTCCATCTCACCTGCCAAATTGTATTGTTACTAACAGATAGTCCGACATCTATATTTCTGTTTTGTCTTTCTACAGAGAAGAAGATATAATTTTTAACATGTTTTTACAAAAGACTTGAAGAGCCCTGAGACAGGATGTCAATCTCAAATGCCTAGAACAGACCAGCCACTTAAAAAGTTTCAGAGAGAAGCTTTTTCGCTCCATCAGCCCTGGCGCATGTTTACACACATACAGCTGAGAAGAAGGAAACCCTCTGCTGGCTCCAGCCCAGAATGGTTCTCTAGGGGATGATCCTTCAACCATGATATTCTGTTACTGCTTCTCTCCTTGTTTCAGTGTTAATTCCATCATATTTCAGTAAAATGTTGGCAGGTGTTAGCAGCTCTGGAAAAGTCCACTATCTAAAATAATTACCTCTGTAGATAATTTGCCAGTGAAAGGAGTGTCCAGTCCCCTCAATCATGTATTTTTTGCTTATGATAATGTTACCAATATTGCCACAATTCTGGTGGGTAAACCGGGTTGCTACCCTCTTTTCTGATGCCCCAAAAATGCCAAAGTACTGCAGTGGGTCCTACATTAGTGTTAGTGTAAGCAATTCCATTTTATATCAATACATTTTTCATTATACTATCCATAACATGGTCCTTTTTCAAAATCAACTTTTTAGGCCACTATATTTTTAGGATTATGAAATATTTCTGCATGAGACAAAACCACACTAATCATACAGAAATTATATCCCCTTCAAAGCAGCCTATGTATGCTTTCACATTCATGATCCCCAGAACATTGTAATATTATCAGTTATGCTAGTGATGGCAAGTTCTTTTACAATGGTACTCCCAAACACAGCAAAATACTATGCTTGCATCACTTAAAAAAATAGAAATCCCTATTTAACTAGTCCCAAAACAGATTCCAGTTCTTCCATGTGCACAGCTTTATACAATGGAGTTATATATACCCAAATGTATGTAGCCACCTGTAAGCCTTACCAGTTGTGGATCCTGATTCTTTTGTCTGGGAACACATTCTTCCCTAAAACTTTCTTGTTTTTGAAAGCCGAAAACAATTAACCTGCATGGTGAAAACCATATATCTTCCTGATGTACATATAAGAATATTCAAGGACTGG